AGTACAAGAGTTGAAAAATCAGAACTGTACTGATAAAATCAGTACGTCTGACAACCGTAGACGAGTTTATTTGAACGTTTGCGTGCAAGACACGAGGCAACCTCACACATATGAAATGCTTGACGTATTTATTTAATAGCCTCCGTGGCGCTTACGGTTCTGTTTTTGTTTACAAATGCAACCCTGCCTATCGTTTGACACTTTTCATGAACTTGCAGGAAGAAACACTTCGGACTAAAACCTGCACCTTCTGACTGGGAGAGAGAGAGCAAGTTACTCTCACAAAAGTGGTTTGACCTACAGTTTTTTTTGGCACCTGGAACGCTTTCCTGCAAAAAAAAACCTGCAAATCGTGAATATCGTGAACACCTGGAACGCAACTTATGTTTATTTGTTGCATTCCCTGAACTGCCCCTGTTACTATATGGCACTTCATTCTATGTAGTACTTTACAAATACCCAACGGGGCTGCTCCTACCCAAAGGAGCAGTACAAAAGCAAAGTAAAAAATAAATTTTTAAATTTCCAACAATGCTCAGAGATAAATATCATCTTAAGTAGTAACAAAAAATATTTTCTTTTAAAAAAAAGTTAATTTATGTGCAAACATGTATGTATGTATGTATGTATTTTCGTATATATACCACATAGAAAAGAAAAAAACAACATGTTTATAAGTACACTTAATAAAACCATTAAAAACGCCATTGTTTATTAAAACAAAAATATAATATAAAAATTTAAATTTGCATGCATCGCTTTTTAAATGCTTTAGTTGAAGCGCTCACCAAGGGCTTCTTTGGGCGCAGCAAGGGAGCGCTTCTTTCTAATGACACACAATGTTAAAATACAATGAAGTATGAATTTAGGAAGGGAGCGCTTACTACTGAATATAGAGCGCTCCAATAGAACTAATTGAGCGCTTCTGGCCCCGTTGGGTATAAACGTATACTTCTACAATCACAAAAGTTTTCACAGGCTGTCTTTCTTTGATTTCGAATTGAAAACTCATTGCGATCGTATTGTACTAGCAGTATACATATATGTTTCTAAACCTAATCCGCTATACATATAACTCAAAAACATGGAATTTTTAGTTGTGTCGTTATTGCAGAGGACCGTCGATATATATTAGAGGGCTGCATGCATTCATTCAAACTTCTAGCCAAACAGTACAGTAGATTTGAATATTTTACTGCACATACAAAACACTCAGCGTTTGGAATTTTGTAAGTTATGAATATACATTTTGTTTATATTTTCTACCTTCAAATGGAAGAATGTGAATGAATGAATAGAAAACATTCAAATCATCCAAACTCATTTCGGTAAAAGTTTTTTTCTACAAACAAGGAGCGCAGCAATACATACATATGTATGTTTGTACTAGAGGGCTGCATGAATGCATTCAAAACGGCTTATGAATTATTCATATACAAAACGAATGAATGATTTTGGCTTCAAATTTTTTTGAATTTGAGTGAATAGCTGTTCTGATATTTGTGTCGACATTACAATATTCAAACAAAGTGAAAATAAATTAAATTGAAATAAATGTCAATTTTTTGTATGAATATCCAAAAATATTTTTTCTATGCACATATGTGCAAACATACATATGTATGTTTGTATGTATTGCTGTGCTCCTTTTATATACGAAAAAACTTGTTTGTAGAGAAAACTTTTACCGAAATGAGTTTGAATGATTTGAATGTTTTCTATTCATTCATTCACATTCTTCCATTTGAAGGTAGAAAATATAAAACAAAATGTATATTCATAACTTACAAAATTCCAAACGCTGAGTGTTTTGTATGTGAAATAAAATATTCAAATCTACTGTACTCTGTTTGGCTAGAAGTTTGAATGAATTCATGCAGCCCTCTAGTTTGTACATATGTGCATAGAAAAAATATTTTTGGATATTCATATAAAAAATTGTCATTTATTTCAATTAAATTTATTTACACTTTGTTTGAATATTGTAATGCCGACACAAATATCGATCAGTTATTCACTCAAAATCAAATAAATTTGAAGCCAAAATCATTCATTCGTTTTGTATATGAATAATTCATAAGCCGTTTTGAATGCATTCATGCAGCCCTCTGATATGTATGTCTATTTGTTGGTGTTCATGGGAATTCGGCACATTGTTTTCGTAAGTTGATAAATTAGCAAGTGCGGTAAAGGCAAATTTTTTTGGCTTTTACAAAGTTGAATTTTGTTGAATTTTGTTTTGTGTTCGCAAAGCTCGAGAACGGCCGTTTTTTTTTTAATTTCACACACTTGCCGCACACATCCCAAGGATGGTTAGGGTATAAACAAAATTAAAATAAACAAATATTTACCCATACCGGACCGGCATAATCTATGTGTACTCGTTCAAAAACTTTTCCGGGTGTTTTCCAACTGTGTACTGGCATTGTTCTTTTAGGGTCTGGTCTGGTGACTTTTGCACCACATTCTCGATGTTCTTATGCATTTTGTACCACCATACGTAGACACTGGCCAAACATTTCATTCTGACCACACCGAAATGAGCCGTGTGCAATTCGTCCAGTACTCTCTGTCGTAGATTATTTGGAATGTATACGCACACTGTGTGGCGGCCGCTTTGCTGCAGTGGTTAGCAGTACGCGCTACCACTCCGCAGGACCTGGGCTCAAGCCCGGTTCAAGCCAACAAAAAATAAATAAAAAACAAAAAAGTTTCACATAAAAATACAATCGCCGTTCGGAGCCGGCGTAAAATTGCAGGTCCCTCCCCTTTGTGTGACAACATCAAGGCGCGCGCCACAAACTGTGGGAGAAGCTCGGCCAAACACTAACATGTGTGTAAGCGCCAGTCTATTATATTATTATACGTACACTCCCCTCAGTATACAATCGTTATGTTAAGTAGATTCGTGTTGTTCGATACCAAATCGATCTTTTGTCTCGCACTTCCTGTCATCGTCCGCTTTCGTTTCAGGCTGAAGTTCCGCTACCGTTACCGGCAAATTTTCGAACAACTCTTCTTCAACCACGTAAACTACCTCCTGTTTGTATGTAGCTGCATTTGGGAACCGCGAAAGAGCATCTGCCTTCTCATTCTCCTTCGAACGCTTGCATTTGATTTTGTAGTAAAACTGTTCGTAGCTCGCGTAATGCTGCATACGAGTTGCTGAATTTATCGAAATGCCTCTGCCAGGTGCAAATATATGTAATATAGCCCGATTATATGAAACGAGCGTAAATTGTTTTCCATATAGGCATTGGTAAAACTTCCGTATTCCGAGCTGCGAATAGCGTTGTTGTACTTTGCTTAAAGTCCATGACGCGAACTGAATCAGTCTTTAAGTGTCATCTTCAAATATGTGGCTAAGGACCGCACCTACCACGTTTGGGCTAGCCTACACAGCTAACGTGATCGGCAACTTTGAATCGTAGTGGGAAATAATTACGTTTGATTGCATCAACATCGCAAAAAAATGTAGAAAAAAGGTCTCATCAAGGCGCACGCCAGAAATCGGAGAATAAGCTCGGCCAAACACTAACATATGTGTAAGCGCCAATCTATTATTATTAATCTATTGATTGGGTGAACTATGTCGCTTAGGAATGCAAGCGATGCATCCATGTTTTCATACCATCAATGTTTCGTCCAAAAATATTGATGTTAACATCGATGTTTCGCTGGACGATACATCGTCGATACATCGACTAGAAAAGTGAAAAACATCGACATCGTTTATTCACTCCGTTCCTATTATGCCGAACGACCAGTGGCAAGCGGGTGCTTATTTTTGGAAGCTGGTGCAACCATCATTCAGGATAGAAGCAGGCTTTTGGGGGCTAGATTATCAAAGCTTCTTTCCTGAACTCATTTTAAAATGTGTATTCATATTTAAATAAATAAGATTTACATATTTAAGATACATCATTGTTGTTTTTGGGGTAGCAAAAGAGAGCGCAGGGTGCGCCAGAGAATCTATTTTCCGTTGAAATGAAAAGACGGGGAATTTTAATTATGGTAACGAATTCAGGAATGTTTTTATTGACTTGAATCAACTTTCAAAACGATATTTAATAGCGATGTAGTTAAGAGAGTGACAAAGTTCGCCCGAGTGGCGTTCTATGGAAAACATGCAAACCGATGCGATGGGACTGCGACGGCGTGTAAAACGTTAATAATTTTAGCAATTTGTTTGCAGGAACAAGTCACACCGTGGCCCCGCTTACAATTACAACATGAAACCCATTTCACATGACTAATTCACATGGTTTACAGTAAGTGGCGCTGCCAGCAGCACGCGAATTATAGAAAAAACATTAATTGAATAATTTACAAAGTTCCTACTCGAATTCGATTAAGTTGGGACTCATGTCCGCAACATGCCGGTCCGCCTGCTCCGGTGCCAGGTTGAACAACTCTTGCAACTTCTCGAGGGTCAGCACCGCCCGGTTGAATAAATCTCAGATGCGCCGTTGGGCCGCAGTATTGCCGCTGTGAGCTTGCTTTGCGGCTAGTTTAATCACACGGCTGGCTAGAGTCGATCGTCCACGGCGAACTTGTGCATGCGAGTCAGTACGGCGAGTGCTTTCCGGAGGCGATGATGTTGGACGATGCAGCATTGTGTGATGCGCCCTCCCGCACCTGTGACAGCTGTCGGCTGAGCTGCAGGAACCGGTTGAATGCGACGTCGCCAAGCAATTGACGCAGTACTTATGTAAGATAGAAAATTTGTTCCTTTGTTAAATAAAATAAATCCTTTTACATTCTAGCAGTTTATTATGACTGACCCAGGTCTGCGCAGGTGAGTACCAAAGACAATACTAATTACTGAATACAAAAAGTTATTATTACTAAGCTACTCTCAAGCTATCAAAACGCTGTCGCTGCCGAAGCAGCCGTTGAATAGCAGTTGTGGTGTCTTGTAACAGCAAGCGTGAGAACACAGAAGCGCTGACTAAGGGCACTGGCAACTTTTGAATGTAACTTTAAACTTGCTTACATTCTTTCGACTGTCTGCGCTATTTGTTGTGACGATCCTGCTGAGTCAGGCCACGCGCAAAAATTTCAGGTAATGGCAAACCTGACTGTGCTTCCCGTGATAACTCTTCCCCTCCTAAGCGAGGGACGTCCTCGGACCTTCTAGTTGACGCTTGCGTGATGTTTTCTACTACTCTTACTATTGGAGCTTGTATATTTTGCTTTCTAGGGAAAGTAGTCATGAGAAGCAGCACGCCGATGATGGCCAGTATGATTAGTGATGTTGCTGTCAATCCTGTCTTATAACCATCATTTAGTTGCTCCATCAGCTGGCGGTTTTCTAGTGCCCGATGTCGCAAGTAAGGTAGGCTCATTATGTCATCGTGTCCGGTTATGTTTATCTGAGTGGGATCTCTGCTACTTTTATCTGAAGGGCATTTCGATTGACAAAGGTCGTTTCATTCACGCTAGCCTTGTCTAAAAACGTCACCAGGTAAGTACCCCTTTTCAGCGATATAGTTTCATTATTAGATATTACTGTGGCGGTGCGATCGTTTATAACGACCATGCCATTATCAACCTCTTGAACAGGATCTAGTTCGCCAAATGTGGTTGTGCAATTTGCTGTGGTGCTGGCTATTAATTGTTGAGCGCAAGTCGAGATGTTCGATTTTCTGCAAAATTTCATAGCTGTTCCTGCACAGTCGTCTAAGGAATATATGTCTTTACCACAAACTGCTACAGCGTAGTTTCGTTGTGATAGCATTTTGTTGTTGTGCGCTATAGGTAAAATAATTTTTCTTTTACAAATAATCTTAGGTCCAGGATACTTAACTAAGAAATGAAGGAGGTTATTGTCATGGTAAACTTAAAACCTAGAAACTAACAGTAAATCAGTTACAGTTAAATTGTGGAGAGACTCGGTCTTCAGGCTTGAATCAATTTCAGCGTTATCAAAAATAATTGGATTTAGTAAACCTAGTTGTGCTAGAGCGATTGATATCATAATATTATCTAGGTCTGTAATCACAGCCCTATTTCTGGCCGAAAGAATTTCATAAAGGTTCCCGGTATCTATTTGTTCCCGTTTTTCTGCCTTTAAAATTTCATTTACCGTATTAGTTAAATCGGTAACTTGTTCCTGAAATTTTGAGTTTATTTCTACCTGCTGATTGTTATTTTCCCTAACTTTATCAAGTTCTATCGCCACCTTTTGAAAGTCGTCGAAGTCCGGCGTGCCTGCTACGACCTTGAGAGCAGTTCCCAAGAAGTTCAGGCTACGTTGGTGTCTTGTTGGTCCAATTACTGTTCGGAGAAGCTTTTCGATTCGTTCCAAGTCCGCCATCATCAGTTTCGTCATGTGACTATGTGGGTACACTCGTAGTGCAGAGCGGGTGTCAATGGTCAATTCTGCGTAGGCCGACAGGATTGTCGTATGTCTAATGTAACCATATGAGTTCCCTAAAACTACATCGCCGTCTGCAATCGGTAAGTAGTCTGAGTGTGAGTAGTCCACAATTTTGCCGTCTGTCGAAGGCGAGGTCATGAAAAGCTTAAGGGTCAGAGTGCTAAAGAAAGGAAAATAAAAAGGGAGAAAAAGGAAAAAGAGAAAGAAAGACAGATGTAAAGGAAAATATATTTAGGACTTACAGTTAAAAATTGTTCTCTTGCTTTAGCTAACGAAGATTATCCTTGTGAACTATCCTACCGCTAATCCTGACCGTGGAACCCAGGTCCTCCTGAACTATGCCTTCTACATGCAAGGGAGTGAGGTTATTTCCTAGACGTTTATTTGACTTAATATGCACCATTTCTTCCACCGCAAATGTTCTTGCTATTCTGTTTTTGTTATGGGTTTTTAGTGTTGCTTCCTGCGCTTTTTCTACTTTTTTCTTGGCTCCGGTCCCACCTACCCACGAATGGAAGATATCTTAAGGTTTCTCGCCTGTTACAGTATATTCAATTGTGGCAAGTAAAATTAGGTCCGTAGTGTCCTCAATTCCTTTTTCCAGTTTCAGACACCTAGCAATTTCTTCTATGGTGCTGTGAAATCTCTCAACCTACCCATTAGAAGTACTATGCAGGGGCGGAGAATTTACGATTTCGATGTTAAAGAGATCTCTGACACAAGATTTTATTGTATTTGAATTAAGCGATTTTTCATTATCGCAGAAAATAGTTCTAGTTCCTGTGAACAGGTTGACCATTTGCAAAACGCGCGGTTTAATATCGATTATGGTTCGTGAGGGAATGGGTTGCACTACCGCAAATTTTGACAGCTTGCCCACGCAAGTAAGGAAGTAGGTAGCATTGGTCGAAAAAATTTCGACATGAAGGATTTCCCCGGGAAATATGGGAACAGGTGTTTTTCCTATGGGATGCTTCACTGGGTGCCTAACGTATTTAGCCTTTACACAGATTTTACAATTTGCTGCTACTTCCCTAGCTTTTTTCTCCATTCTTGGAAAAAAATAGTCATGCAGTATTTGCTTGACATTTTCCTGGGAAGCACGATGAGCTCTATTATGCCCTGTGCAATTATTTCCATTAGTTCGTTAGGATCAAAAATGTCTGTAACAAATTTATTTATGTGGCGGAATGTGGTGTTTGGGAACGTGTTTACCAGCCAATGCTGAATCTGTGCTAGCAAAGGTAGCTCGCAATGAATACCATTGACTACGTCAGATTTTACTACTTCTAGTAGCATTTTGAACAAAGTTTCGCTATCAGGAAATGTAAGAAAGTGACGTAATTTGTTTCCGAAAATGACAAATGTTCTCTTGAACGGGTGTTGGCGTGATTCCAAAATTAATTGATTCCTATAGACGTTTACTGGTTTAGAGACTGTTTCCACCGTATAGGTGAGCGATTGCTCGCTGTGAATAGTGGCGGCATCTGATTCATGTTCAGGGCCTAAGGAATTTATAAATTGGCGTGATAAAGCATCGGCTACTAAATTGTCTTTCCCTGGCTTATAGTGAAGTTTTGCATTATATGCTTCGATAAAAGCCTTCCACCTTTTTATTTTTGGGTTTGGGTTGCGATCAGGTACCGCAAAGGTTAGGGGTTGATGATCGGTATAAATGTTCAACTCCCTAACACCATACAAATAATGTGTAAGCGTTTTAAGAGCCTATACAATGGCCAAGAGTCCCGATCATTCGTGGCAGAATGCTCCTCTTTTTTATCGAGTGTCCTTGAAATCATCGTAATAGGTCTCCCTTCCTGAGAGAGAACCGCGCCAAGGGCGTGTGAAGAAACGTCAGTAGTTAGGTCGAAAGTCTGGATAGGCTAGCATGACATCTTCTGACGCAAGTATATTCCTTAATTTAATAAATGCGTTAGTTTGGTCTTTGTCGAATAAAATTTTAATTTTCTTTGATTGAGAGGCAGATACCTTTCCAAATTCGCCTCTTAGGATATTGGTTGGAGGTTTTGCAATTTTTGCATAGTCGCGGATGAAGCATATATAGTAACCTGTCATTCCTAAAAAAGACCGAACGTCCCTTAATGTTGTTGGTTGCGGGAAATTTTGAATTGCTTCGATTTTTTGAGGGCTGGTTTTTATTCCTCCTTTCGAAATTTGAAAGCCAAGGTACTCGAGTTCTGTCTTGAAAAATTTAGCTTTTTCTACTGAGACCCTCATGTTTGTTTCAAGCAAGCATTTCAGAACAACCTCTCCATGTTTCAAATGGGCTTCCTTGTCTTGTGAGAAAATTATTACATCGTCAATTTAAACAAAACAGTATCTGCCAATATGTTCCCTAAGGACGTCGTAAATCGCCCTCTGAAAAATACCCGGAGCATTCTTCAGACCAAAGGGAAGACGGCAGAATTCGCACTTGCCATTACACACTGAAAACTCCAGGGCTGTAAAAAGTTGGGCCTTGCCCAAGTTTGATAGTATTACCCCTACATTTGGGATGGGGTATGAGTCCTCTATTGTTTTTCCGTTCAGTTTACGGAAGTCAATTACTAATCTTTTCTTTTTTATCCCGTTTTCATCGAGGCCTTTTTTGTCCACTACCCAAATGGGATTGTTATAGGGTGATCGTGAACGTCGTATAGTGCCATTTTGCAGGAGGTCTCTTATTTCACCACCATTTGAATTTTTTCCTTACCAGAGTCGTATTCTATAATGTCTTTTTTTAAATTGATATTCGCGTGAACCTTATTAAGCAGGTCTAGGCCTACGATCCCATCAAACAGAGTTAGATCTGGCAAAATGAAGAACTCTGTTACAACTCCAAATAAGTGCACCTTGCATTTGTTTATAATATTTGTGAATCCATGTATGAATTTCACTGTAAATTTTTTATCGACAGGCTTAACCCCCTTTAGGCCCTCTAGAGGTCAGATGTAATTCTTGGAGGCTCCCGTGTCGACAAGAAATCCAGGGCAGGAGAGATCTTCCCCTAAAAAATTCACTTCCTCTGCTTCTAGGTCCTCAACAATTGGCTCAGACAAATCTTCATATGACTCTGAGCAAGACTCTTTATCGTGAGTTTGGCTCAAATGATTCACTCTTTGGAGTTTGGGTCACGTACGTCGGTCGGAGGACGCCTGGCGCTTCTGAAATTGTTCATTTCCTGCAGAATTTGTAATTTGCCGTAGGCGAGATGACGAGGGCTCTACATCCATCGGTTGCTGCTGAGGCTGTGAGGCCCGATTTTCCCCCTACCGATGCTGACTAGAATTTGTTTGGCGATTACTCCTATATTGCGTCACGAAATGAGGATTTTTTTGGTTATCAGGGTTTGCCCTATTGTACGTGTTCTGACTATTGTTGTCCCTGTTACCCCTTTGGCTGTTTTCTGATTTTTTTGTGACGTCGGTCCACCTATTTGGGAAACTGGCCGCGAAAATATACCATACGTGATTTGCATCGACCTCCTGAGCGAGTGCCAACGCGGACGGCAGATCAGTAGCCTCCTGAGCCCAGAAATAAACACCCTAAGAGCATTTTCCCGATATTTTTTATTAATTGCATCTGCAATGTTCGCTTCGTGGGACATTTTTGTTTTATTGGCAAGTAAGGACAGTTTTTCTCGACCTCGTCGCAAAATTCCAGGACACTGGAAGAGCCCTGCCTTAATGTGGATAACTCTTGCTCCACTAAATATATCGGTCGCTTATCGGAGTACGTGAAGTCCAGACGCGCTATAATGGCGTCAAAATTTAGGACTCTGCTAAACGATGACAAGAGCGCATCGGCAGTACCGCGGATTTTTTTCCGTATAATGATAACGGCTTGATAGTGCCATGAGCTACCATCGAAGCCTTTGAAAATTTTGTATGCGTTATGTGCCGCCTCACGCCAGGACACATAATAGTCGGGTTGTCCTGAAAATTCGGGCAATGTTTTTAACACGTCCAGCGATTCCTCGCAGGTTCGGCCTGATATAATCCTAATTTTTTCATATTTCGTTACTATTGGCTTTTGAGATAAATACACTATTTGGTCTTGCATGACCTTAAGTTTATCCTCAAACTCTCGTCTCTGCATTCCTAACGCGGCGAAGACGGCCGTGTTTACTACTTTCTTGAGCTGTGCTTCGTTCATTTTAATTTCCATTTGTTCTGTTAGGTCAATACTTTCGAAGTTAGAAATTAGGTCAGTTAGGTCTACCGTCGGGCCGTTCATATACCGGGCAACAAATAAATAATTTTTATCAATTTAAATATCCACTAAAAAATTTGCTCGTTTTTATTCAAAAATTTTACTTCGAAAATTTTGTCCTAAATATTCATTTAAAAAGCACTTGCCTTACTTTAAATATTCACTCAGAAAATCAATTTGTTGTAATTTAAATATTCACTTAAAAATTTATTAATTCAAACAGAAAACTGAGTCTCCCAACTTACATTAATTTCATGGTTTTTCGTTTTTTCTGGTAGCTGCAATTTCCGGTCTGCAATATTTAATTAGCTATTCTCCTTCTGCTCTCAGTTGACAGTTGACGTCACTTCGTCTTCTCGTGATTTACTGTAGTTGCACTAGCCCTTCGTTTGGGCTTTGGGTATTGCCGCTGTGAGCTTGCTTTGCGGCTAGTTTAATCACACGGCTGGCTAGAGTCGATCGTCCATGGCGAACTTGTGCATGCGAGTCAGTACGGCGAGTGCTTTCCGGAGGCGATGATGTTGGACGATGCAGCATTGTGTGATGGGCCTTCCCGCACCTGTGACAGCTGTCGGCTGAGCTACAGGAACCGGCTGAATGCGACGTCGCCTAGCAATTGACGCAATGCTTATGTACGATAGAAAATTTGTTCCTTTGTTACATAAAATAAATCCTTTTATATTTTAACAGTTTATTATGACCGACCCAGGTCTGCGCCAGTGACCAAAGACAATACTAATTACTGAACACAAAAAGTTATTATTACTAAGCTACTCTCAAGCTATCAAAACGCTGTCGCTGCCGACGCAGCCGTTGAATAGCAGTTGTGGTGTCTTGTAACAGCAAGCGTGAGAACACAGAAGCGCTGACTAAGGGCACTGGCAACTTTTGAATGTAACTTTAAACTTGCTTACTTTCTTTCGACTGTCTGCGCTACTTGTTGTGCCGATCCTGCTGAGTCAGGCCACGCGCAACAATTTCAGGTAATGGAAAACCTGACTGTGCTTCCCGTGATAACTTGTATACGCGCAGACTCGTACCGCTCATCAGGTCTCATTGCTTGAAATACGCGGCAAAAACGCAACGGATGATGGCGGCAGCAGAGGCGGCACTGGCTGAGCTCCATCGTATTCATGGACATCTGTGGAAAGAAGAAAACATCGAAGACGGAATTAGTTCCTTCAGCTATTGGGAGGTGTAGGTGTGGGGTAGTAGTGTTTAATGAGGCATGAAGTATGTAAAGAGAGTTACTACAGAGGGGGCAGTAAACACAACTTTGCACTATTTAGAGTAATTGTTGTTGTAAATATCAACTATGCGAACATTGTGTTCATGACCGGGGTGAAGTTTCACAACGCGCCCTAGTCTCCACTCGTTTGGAGGAAGAAGGTCCTCTTTGGCGACAACGAGGTCTCCCTCCTGAAGGTTGGGTTCTTGGCGCTTCCACTTGTGCCTTTTATGGAGTTCCTTAAAATATTAATTTTTTCAGCGCGTGCTAAATTGCTGATGAATAACCTTAAATTTTTGCCATTTGTTTACTAAAGAGAGATGGTCAGGGCGGGGTTCGGGCAGAGAGAGAAGTGGGGCACCACGCAAGAAGTGTCTTGGCGTCAAAGCGAACAGATCAGTAGGATCCTGAGACATGGGGGAAAACGGCCTTGAGTATAGCACCGCTTCAATCCGAATGAGGAGAGTGGTAACTTCTTCAAAGGTAAATTTGTTGTTCCCTGCTACCTTCACAGTTTGCAGAGGGGCTATTACTTTTTGCTGCGAGCAGATTTGACGAGAAGGAGTCTTCGTCATGTTGCACTCGCAGATAGACGCAAGCACAATATGCCTTTCCGGAGGCGTCTGAGAACGCATGTACTTGTACCCATTGTTTAGGCGAGAATTGCACCAAGCGGGGAATACTAATTTTATTAATGGCGCGGAGATTGTCGCGCAGAGTGTTCCATTTGTGGAAAGCGCCGGATTGCACATGCTCGTCCCATTCGGCTCCTTCCAACCACAATGTCTGAAGGAGCATTTTAGCGGAAATCATTATTGGCGTTAGCCATCCTGCTGGGTCAAACAGTTTCGCTACCGCCGATAATATTTGTCGTTTTGCCCTTGAGTTAGCAGCGGGTACAGGGTCGTATGTGTAGGAGAAGGAGTCCGTTAGTGCGTTCCACTTTATGCCTAGAGTTTTTGTAGAGCTAGTGTCTTGAAACTGGAGAATTCCTACATCAAAGGCCTCGGTTTCTGGGACTGATTCCAGGATTTTTGGGTGATTTGAGGTGATTATTCGTAGTGGGAAGCCTGCAGATTTTAGGGCGTCTTTCATTTGGGGAAAAAGTTTATAGTGGAAGTGGACTGTATATTATGCCCGCCTGAGAGAATATCGTCCACGTATGTTTCACGCAGGAGAATATTGTTGGCGAGCGGCAATTCGTCTTAACAATCCTGCTCTAACTGATAAAGCGTACGGATTGCAAGATAGGGAGCGCAATTGACGCCGAAGATGACAGTTTTCAGACTAAAAATCCCCAAAGGGCTTATTTATGGACCTACGAAAGAAGATTTTTTGGAAGTCCGGATCTTCCTTGTCATTAAAAACGGACTTGTATAGAGGCGCAATCGGAGAATGATGAGCATCAAGTAGTTTTGAAGGGAAGAATTCTGGAGGCATTAAAGACTTCGCGTACCTTTGTTGTTTTGCTGTCTGGTTTTACGACAGCGTGGTGCGGTAAATAAAAGGAGAAGTATTTACCGTCTTTGATGACTTCTTCTAGAACTTCTGAGTACATTTCGCAGAGGTCAGGTTTTTTCTCCAGACTCCTTTCGATGCTAATGTACTGCTGCTGCGCTGCTTGTCGAGAGTGACCTAGAGCCATGGTGTCTGGGAATTCGGATTTTATGGGTAGGTTCACCATATATCGTCCATCTGCCTTCCGGGTTGTTGTGCGTTGATACAGATCCTCGCAGAACTGCTCTTCACTTGAACGGGGTTCAACGGGTCCTCCTGTTCCCAAAACTTCGTCAGCAGGGCGTCAATTGATTCATCATGGGGTTCCGTTACCTGGGTGGTAAAGGTTGAAATCCTTTCCTGGGTTGGGTCACTCAGAATCGACCCAAGTATCGTGTTCTGCGCTATGAGACTACCGCTTATGCTTTGTTGTAGCCCTTGTAAGAGAATTCGAGCGATTAGATCACTGCCGATTACCATATCTATTTTGTTCGGGGTGAAACAGTTTCGCACCACCATTCCACCCATTCCAGAAATCTCTAACCATGCATCTGTCATAGGCAGGCGCAAGAGTTTTTGTATCCGGGATGATACGAACGTTTTTTGTGAACCCTGATCCACCAGAACGCAAATATTGTGATATTCGCCATCACAGTAGATAGGTACTATCGCCATTGGGAGGAGACACTTTATTTACGTCGTTTTTCTCTGGGGGTGGGTGCGTTACATATTTTGAGAAAGTGGGCGCTTCAGTATCCGTATTAGTCTGAGTCGATAGCTGACTCGTTGTTCGGTTGAGGGGTCTGGGTCTTTTGCGGGAAGTGTAAAAGAGAGTCATGTCTTCATTGACAGTATACACAAGTGAAACTACTTGTACACTCACTCTTTAAATGGGAGTAATTGTTCTCTTTTACGAATCTTAAACGGTCAGATACGGATAGTGCTTTAAATTTCACACATGTCTTCATGGGGTGCCTCGAGTTGCAGAGTTTGCATGAAATCGGCTGATTTAGATCGACATGGAAATTTTGAGTTCTATTTTTATTTATAAATGTGAACCTGTGAGTCCCCGTTCTTGGGGTGAAATTAGGGTGGGGATATATGTTAAGTCTTTCTACTATGTTAAGTCTTTCTACTACTAGGGTGGAGAGGCAATTGTTGATGGTGGATGGAATTTTCTGGATTTGCTCACCATTTTCTCTATATACATATGGGGGATATTAAATAGAGCTGCGGTTTTCGTACCGTGACTTTAAGGCATCCCAAGCTAGTTCAAAATTATCGTATTTTTTGATTATTTGTCCTGCCTGACTTCTGGTTTTTTGCCTTAAATGGTACAGTTGGCTGCGCTGGGGTTAGTTTGTAGTAATTTTTGTAGACTGCCGTGAACACATCTCTGAACGCCGACCAGTCTTCGTACCCACCGTGGAAAATTTCTGTGTCGCACGGTGGTAGCTTGAGGAATACTTCTTGGGAGTTCGAATTTGTGGTGCGAATGGTGTTTATTTGTGATTGGGAATTTGCCCCGAGAAGCTGTAAGCCGTCTATAATTTGCGTCATACAGTTCTCGTAACTTTCTGAGCATTTATTATATTTTTGCTTTATGGATCCGCTAAATTCCGTGAAGCACTCAGAGCGGGATACTGCTCTATATGTAGGGATGCAAACGATGCATCGATGGTTCTGAAACATCGATAACATCGTCCAAAAAACCGATGTTTACCGATATTTGAAAATTACTCAACAACGTAAAATTGACGATATATCGATGTCAATTTTAACGATGTTTTAAACATCGACTTAAGTTTCGGTTCAAAATTGCCATTGCGTTCACACCTTTATGTTATATTCTTTAGGCTCTGTCACACGGTCAGTATTTATTGACATGATCCAAGTATCGCGATATTTATTGACGGTTTAGTATGCCGTATTGATGGATCGTGATCCATATCGCAAAATTTCTAAAAATTTTGAAATCTGGATCGCGGATCGCAATACCGCCAATAAATATTGAACGTGTAGCACTTTCAAAACGCAATCAATACATTTCTTCAGTACATCTTTTACTCTCATAATGTAAACATCGGCTCAGCCTTCACTATCGGGGCTTAAAATCTTTCAAAACAAATTGAACAAATCTTAAAATAATTGTGGAATGCATTATCTGTACATTATACGTACAAAATAGAAATATTTTCTTGCGTCATAATAAGCGTTCAGCAAAAAAATTATGCAAATACTGACGCGATAAATATTGATCTACATGATACACATTCGTGCGCGATCCATCAATCCATCAATATGGATCGCGATCCAAATAGCGTGATAGTACTGACTGTGGGACAGAGCCCTTTGGGTAAGCGTATTACGGGTGATATCAGCCCTGCACTTAATAAAAGCAATTGGCAACGTTGAACATAGGTGATTTCCATGACGTAGTTACAGTATTTCAATACGACTTAAGGTGAGTGTAAATATTATCTTCGCGTAAACAGCAAATCTAATTAAATTCAAAAAACGACCCATTCAAATTTTAACAGTGTAGCAGTTTAGATGGACAATAGGATTTTATTGAAATTTTAACAAGCATAAAGTCAGTTCCAGGTATTTCAGGATTTGCATGTTTTACAGGTAAAGCGGTTTTCGCCATTAATAAACCTTATGGAAGGTGGCGTACGTTAACAGCTTCCTGTAAAAACCTGCAAACCATGAAGTACCTGTAACGTACTTATTAAAAAATAGAAACATCGGAAAATATCGATGTATCGATAGTTTTAGGACGATTTTTTTCGGCATCGATGTTAGTGTTTTCGATACATCGAAATAATAATGTATCGATGTTGGCTCTGAAAATTTGCATCCCTATCAATATGAGCTTATGAGGTCGTCCTACAGCCTGTGAAGTTGCTGTAATTTGACATTTAAGAGCGTTTGAGTGTGCTCGCTTATAAGGGTACTAGACCATTTCGAATTAAAATATTCAAGCCTGTTGCTTTCAAAAATGAAGCCTTGAAGGCTTGAGTCAGAGTTCGAGGTGGATTTCTTGTCCATTGTGTGGGGCATAAACCTTGGAGCTTAGGTTAATTAACCAACATTATTCTGATATAACTGGGAAAGCGAAATTTAAATAATGCCGAGCAGCTAAAATTAGCCTTGAGCCGAATTTATTTGGATTTAAAAGTAAGTTATTTGTTTTAACTTTCAGGGTATAACGTAGTTTGTGCCACTGTAGCGCAATTATTTTTTGTTCCACCGTACCGTCTTAGCGCGTCCAAGTACAGTAACAGTGCTTTATTATGTACGGCGCGAGTGCAAACTAGGGGCGGACCTTATGTATATGTGTATACACGTAGATGTTTATATGTATTTCGGCGACTTTTTATATGTACGTATCTACGAGTGAGTAACAGAATTGA